CTTTGAATGGAGGCCAGATCTTATCTGTAGTGGGTTGTTATCGTCCCCCCTCAGCAACACCCGAGGCTCTGTCCTTCCTGATGGAATTCCTTGGAAATTTAAAATTCAAAGAGATTTTTTTTGGCAGGAGATTTCAACACTGACTGGGATAAGTCAAACCCCCCCCCCCCCCCCCCCCCACCCCGCTATAAATTCAAGGAATGTTGCCTGTCACTCAATCTAACCCAATTGATTGACTCTCCCTCCAGACCAAACAAAACTGTCCTGAAAAATCTTCAATCTTAGACCTGTTTCTAACTATCTCTCAGATCGGAGGCAATGTGTTCAACATAATGGTACTTCCTCCAGTTATTTAACAGTCAACAATGGTGTACCTCAAGGCTCAGTCTTAGGACCCACCCTCTTTACAATCTACATAGGTAATGTAGGTCAAAACATCCCTGATGCATCCATACATTTCCATGCTGATGACACAGTTGTTTATTGTCGAGCTAAAACAGTTGATAAGGCGTTCCAGCTTTTGCAATTTGCATTTAACATCATCCAGTTTGATTTGTTCCGCCTCAAACTTGTCCTAAATACCGACAAAACCAAAGGGATGCTTTTCTCAAACAGGAAGTCAGTCCCAGCAGTTCTTCCTCCGATTTTATCCTCAAATGATGTCCCCATTGAGTTTGTTGTTTCCTATAAATATTTGGTTATTTTGGTCGACTCGCATCTCTCTTTTAAGCTCCATGTGGAAAACCTAGTAAAGAAACTGGAAGTTAAACTGAGTTTCATTTTCAGAAACAGATCCTGTCTAACTTTGAATGCTAGGAAACGCCTTGTATCTGTGACTTTCCTTCCTTCCATTGATTACAGTGACATTATTTACATGAACGCTCCTACAAGCACCCTGCAGATGTTGGATGCTGTCTATCATGGTGCACTAAAATTCATAACTGGCTGTGATTATCGTACCCATCATTGCACCCTGTATTCACTGGTTAACTGGACATCATTAACTTCAGGCAGACTCTCCCACTGGTACATTTTCATCTTTAAATCACTTCTTGGTCTGCTGCCTTCATACAGCTCCTCCTACATGTCTCTGCGTGAGTGTAGCTACAGCGTGCGCTCTCAGGACATTATTACCTGCAGTGTTCCCTCAGTGCGGACTGAACTTGGCAAAAGGGCATTCTCCTACTCTGCTCCTGTTTTCTGGAATATCTTACCAAAAGACCTGAAGCTCTCGACCTTGACCTCTCTATGTGGCTTTAAAAATCTGTTGGACTCCTAGCAAGGACCAACGCAGACATGTTCCTGTTTTTAGTTTTCTACATTCGCCTTATAATCTACTGTTTTTGTTACTTTTTTTGCCATCTTATTTGTAAAAAAAATCTGTATGCCTTTTTATAACTGTCTATTGTTGTCACTGTTGTCCATTGTTGTCATCATTCTTCGCTGAAATCAGGTCTCTCTTGTGAAGGAGTCCTCGAGGTTCAATGGGATTTACCAGTCTAAATAAAGGTTGAATGATTGAATCTGTATCAAAGCTCGAATGGAAGGTGGCAAAGAGATTTGAGCATCAAGGATAAATCCCCACTGGTGCCTGTGTAGCCGTCAGCAGGTGCAACCTACAAGCGCCACGCCGAAAGATAAATTAGGCTGTGTCTCCCTACCATACAGCTGTTAATGCCAGCATGAGTTGATGCTATTGCCGCTACATATACCTTAAGTGTTGAAGGAAAACGGCCCTTATCAAGAAGAGACTGGAGAAACTCTAGGATGATGGGTACCATACAGGAGACTGAATTATTGCGGGCAGAACACCACTGGGAAAACAGACGTCACCTGTTTTCATATTGCTGATGAGTAGAGGGTGCCCCAGTGCCCAAGATGGTGTGTCTGACGGGATCCAAAATTCTGGTCAGCTGCTACCTAAGCTCTCCATTGGCCACACCCACAGCTGAAAATTTTGAGGATTGGGGTGCCATTTTAGTCCACCCAACTAAGATAGTAAGTCCCACCGCTAGCTCAGCTGGTTAAAAAGGCAAATTGGGAGAGAAAGGCATGAACACTGCCATCACCAATTAAAACAAGGCCAAAACTCAGACAGGCTAATACCCTTAGCTCAGCCCAAGACCGTCTATGCGGTCGGGCAAAATTGAGAGCAGTGGTACAGACACTACCGTCACCAGAATAAGTTAGAGGCTAACAACACCATTAGCTCAACTGATCTTAGGAATTTTGGGAGGAGGCAAGACGCTTCCTCACCAAATAAGCTAAAACAACAACTTGGAAATGCTAACAATTAGCTCAATCCAAGCTGAACATGAGACTGGTGAACAGCTCCAGTATATTTATGTGTTTGGAGCGATCTTTTCGGCACCAGCAGCCCTGGACCACTCTGTGTTGCCACACAGCGTCCCATCCCATGGAGCTGCATCTGCTGTTACCACCTCTCTGACACATCACAAGTTTGCAGCAACCCGAGTGGCAACAACCCGAGTGGCCGATGGGTCACAAAAACAGAAGCGAAAAGCTGTTGCACCAGTTCTAAGGCAAGAGAGCTAACACCGTAGCTCTGTCAAAGCTGTACATGTTTTCAGCAGAAAACTGGGAGCGGAAAACGTTCCCGTCGCTTTCAATTAAAGCAAAACAAACCTAGCCGCTAACCATGTTAGCTCATGCGTTTGACTAAGAGGGGAGAGGGAGCGTAGAACGCTGCCTTGTCACATATGGCAAGGATTAACTTAGAGGGTTACTTACCACTCTTGTCAATAGCAATAGTGTTTATGCTCACAAACACAGTAGTGAAATGCTGCAGTCGGGAGAGGCAGGCAAAACACTGTCTTTCCCTGACAACTAGCAGAATACCTTGACCAAAGCTAACCCGTTGCAGACAGTAGGAGGGCGGTGCACCGCAACTTCTGCCAACAGGAAACCGAGCGTCTAACGATGGTGAAAAGATCCAAGGCCAGTAGTAAAACGAACAGCGTGCGAGAAGAAAAAAGGACCAGAGCCGCAGATGACATCAGGCTATATAACCTCCGATTGATCATCAGATGTGTCACAGCTGTGACTTTTTTGATTGATTGATTGATTGATTGATTTTTATTGTCAATTCTGCATATGTACAGGACATACATAGAAATTGAAATTGCGTTACACTCCTACTCAATTTGCAGCAAACAACAACATTAGCAAAAATAAACTAACACAACTAGTTATATAAAAAAATATAAAAAAATATAAAAGTGAACAGCAGCAGGACCTCTGATGCAACGTGCTCAATAGTGACTAACAGGAGACAAAGGGACGCTGACTGAAGACAATAACATGATGAGAGGTAGATAATGGATGTGCAAGGCCAGAGTAAACAATAGTGCAATATAAAGTATAAACCTGAGAAACTTAGTAAAGTGAAGGTTTGCATACCGGTTCTATATAGTCACAGTTATGTACTGATGAGGTGATTAAGTGGAAATGACAATACCAGAATTACCAGAATAAAGAATAAACAGGACGAGTTGATCATAACAGTAGTGCAAAATATAATGCAATAAACAGTAGAGTGAGCTTGTAGGCTGTTAAAGTGACCGATTCATGAACTATTCATAAAACTAAATAAATGTCCCAGAGCAGTTTTGAAGGGGGGGGGGGGG